AGAAAAAGCTCATTTTTTTCCAAACCAAATTAAATGAAAACCAGAGAAGTTTTAACTGAATTCGTAGCAGAACTCTTGAGCTATTCAAATATGTACTTGAAATTGAAATTAAATGAAATTATGTCGATGAAATACTAAAAATACTGTGATAGCAAACACTTTGCGGTCTTACTGTACATTGACAAAAACGTTCATTTATCTGAGTAACTATTTATGCCAGAAACTCGGTCTAGAGTCAAAAGATTGACGAGTCTAAGCATGACAATTTGCCTTTTGAGGGTGACGGTGGGTGAGAATGACAACTTTTGCCTTTGATACGTTATTTCCGAAAATTATTCCGTGGTAATTCCGAAAATACTTGGAAACATAGGTAATCGACCACGCTGGCTGAATCTCGTGACAATATTTGGTTTTCAAAAAAGGGTTAAAAACTTAGTGTAATCGTACATAAGGTGAAATAATCCAGTTTTGCAGTTAAATTAAAAATTTCATAACTCAGTCAAGAACCAAACAAATTATGTCAGAATATCAAGGTCTACTCTATTTTCCTGCTTGAAACGATGCAGCTCAACAGAAGTTTCCAAAGTCAACCAAAAATAGTTTGGTTTCTGTAAAGGCTCTCTAGAAATCTTCCGAAGTAATTACTACTATTCTCGGCAAGAGGCATCCTAGATGTCCCAGCCCGAAATAAGAAGTGTCAGAAATCAACGTTAAAAACGGCCAAAATTTCGATAATTAGCATTTCTCGCCACGAAGCAAGCATCTGTAAATTTGACATATCACCGGACAAAAAATAAAGTGGGTTTTGAGTTGCTGAAAAGTGTTTTTTCATATTCAGCACACTCGATAACGCAGATGATTTTCTATTTTTGGTGAGGAGTACTTTCAAAAGTTTAGGAAAAATTTTCAAACTAATATTATTTTTGCATGGAAGTTTTTTTGCGTCATTTTGTTTCAAAATTTTCCTAAACTTTTGAAAGTACACCTCGCCAAAAATAGAAAATCTTCTGGGTTATCTTGTGTGCGTAATACGAAAAAGCGCTTTTTAGCAACTCAAAACCAACTTTATTTTTTTCGGTCCGGTGATATGCTCCGCTAGCAAAAATCACAGAAGTTAAATTTCACATATTTTATCTGCCGGCACCAACTTCGTACGTTGTAGTGTGCGACGACTGCTGAATATGCTTTATTCCCTTGATTGGAAGTCTTGAGTCATACACACGAAATGTCCGACCGTCCGTTCGCAGCAGAGGAGTGACATCTACTTTTAAACTAGCGTAAATTAGCGACATATCCATATTCGAGGTGGACAAAGACATAGTTACTACTTTTGTCGGTAGGAAGACATCCTAGATGTGCGAGCCCGGCATACAAAATGTCAGAAATAAAATTTCACACACTTTATCTGATGACACAAATTTCGATAATTAGCATTTCTCGCCACGAAGCAAGCATGTGATAAATTTGACTCCGCTAGCGAAAATGTCTGAAATTAGATTTCACATAGTTTATCTGCCGGCACAAACTTCGTACGTTGTAGTGTGCGGAAGACATCCTAGATGTATCATCCCGCAATAGAAAATGTCAGAAATTAAATTTCACACATTTTATCTGCTGGCACCAATTTCGTTAATTCGCGAGAAAACGAATTATTTTATTATATGCTTTATTCCCCTGACTGAAAGTCTTGGGTCATAGCAACGAAATGTCCGTCCGTCCGACCGTCCGCAGTAGAGTAGTAACATCTGCTTTTAAAGCGTAAATTAGCGACATATTAATATTCGAGGAGAACAAACACATAATTACTACTTTTCTAGGCAGGAAGACATGCTATATGTGCCATCCCGCAATAGAAAATGTCAGAAATTAAATTTCACACATTTTATCGACAGGCACCAACTTCGTACGTTGTAGTGTGTGACGATTGCTGGATATGCTTTATTCCCTTGACTGAAGCTCTTGAGTCATACAAACGCAATGTCGTCGTTCTGCGGTGTATAATGAACGAAGTAGTGCGGAAACTATTGCTAAGTATTTCTTGGGTGTCGTTGATCTTAATGATTAGTTTCAGCTCCTATTCTCGAGCTGTAGCATTTATGACTAGCTGTTTTTCTCCTAATTTTGAGAACATGTTTGTATCTGGAGATGCGAGAGAGAGTTTCCTTTTCAAAAGGAAACACGAAGTATAAGTTATACTTCGTGTTGGAGAACTATACAAAGTTAGTTTTGCACTTCCAAAGGTAGAAATGCGAAACATTTCCTCATTTTCAGCTATGCACAAAAATCAATACTTTTTCACAGAAAAACGAAAAATCACTTTGGTGAAATTATGAATTTCGCGCACAGTACATGTTGGATTCTTTAGGTTGAGAATCTTTCAGTCAAGGTTTAGCGAATCGAAGATGAGCGTTACTTGCGATAAATAGTGACTCAATGTTGTCAACATTCACTTTTGTCAACGAGGCACAATATATAAGTAACAAGAATGTAATATTCTGGACGAATATTTACAGCCTGTTGCTAACAATGAAAATGGTGAATTGTTTATTGGTGGTGTACAGGAGTGATATCTGCTTTTAAAAGGAAAATCGCACTCGTTATAAAATGAGTGTTAATTCTGGCTACTTCTCATGTTAACAAATTTGAAAATACCCCTCTCCAGTTTTTCTGGCAGTTTGAAGTACACAAGTTGTGCTCTATGTCGAACTGTTTTTTAGAAAAGGGTACAGTCTACTTTTTGAGATACAGAGCTGTCAATACCACTGTCAATGTACCTTTTGTGTGCATATAGAAATAGATACAAAGCAAGAAACGAAGAAAAGAACAAATTTTATGTTTTTATCCAAAAGGAAAATCGCACTCGTTATAAAATGAGTGTATATTCTAGCAACTTCCCAGATTAAAAAGTTGACAAATGTGTAAAAGTGATCACTTATAATAGACCGATCTGTTTGAGAAAAATTAGTGTTAGAAGTGGAAAGGGGTCCTCTTTAATTATTCTAGTTTTAAGTAGCGAAGTCAACAGAATACAGAATTAACGTAGAGCTAGGGCACATTCGATAATTGAGTCTTTTCGTTACTTTGTTCCTTAAAGAGAAAACGTGTTGTGTGCTCATATAGGAAAAAAGAATAAGAATTAAGAATTGTATTATCGAAGAGCAGAAAAAAAATGACTATTTTCTTGTGAAAATTATTTATAGCCAAATAGGCAAAAATGTATACAGATGATGTAAAATATACAAATTACAAAATATTATATACAGAATGTGTACACTAGGTGTAATCTGTTAATTTAGGAAAAAATGAGCTAGCTATAAGACAAGTATAACTAGATTATGTTACGATATAAAATTCAGACAAAACTTTTCTCAAATAGATCGGTCTATTATAAGTGATCACTTTTACGTCCCCTTTGACTATATGAAACTTTAAGAGACTTATAATTTGGAACATTGATATATTTTTCAGAAAAACGTTTCTTTTAACTTTTAAGAAATAGAGCTGTCAATATCAAAGATAAAAGTTAGTAAAATGGATCCGTTTCAAATTAATTTTAGCGATTTCACTGGAAAAAATAAATGTAGAACTTGGGCTTCTCTGACTATGATGTTCCGAAAAGTGATCAAGAAAGTTATGTTGGTGATTCCAAATTCGTGCTCTAAAATTTCTAAAATTAAAGTGAAATCCATACATTTTACTAGCTTTAGTCTATAATATTGAGATCTCTATATCTTAAAAAGTAAAAGAGACCTTTTCCCAAAAAACAGCTTGGCATAGAGTACAACTTGTGTACTTCAAACTGCCAGAAAAACTGGAGAGGGGTATTTTCAAATTTGTTAACTTTTTAATCTGGGAAGTTGGTAGAATATAGGATAAACTCGCAGTGAGCACTGCTTCTTTCGAACATAGAATAAATGAACATTTCGATGAAAATATAATTTTTTCCTTTCCTTATTCTGTTTTTTGAAGCAAAATAACGTAATACACACATATATACAACGACGAGGAATTTAAAGGGAGGAAAAAAAGTGAGAAAAGGAAGAAAAATAAGATCAAAGAAAAGAAAATTAGACGCAGTGTGTTTGATGTGTACAGTTGAATATAGTGTAATATACCGTGAAAACCTAAGTGGAGTCTAAAGACCCCAAAAATCGGAAATACCCCGACGAGATCTTTGCGCCGTACAACGTAACTCGTCACGCTGATTCCGAATATGTAAAAATCTTGAGGTACGCTTCTCTAGAAAAAAACCATCAAATTTTGATATGTTATACTTCGTGTTGGAAACTATACAAAATTAGTTTTGCACTTCCAAAGGTAGAAATGCGAAACATTTCCTCATTTTCAGCTATGCACAAAAATCAATACTTTTTCACAGAAAAACGAAAAATCACTTTGGTGAAATTATGAATTTCGCGCACAGTACATGTTGGATTCTTTAGGTTGAGAATCTTTCAGTCAAGGTTTAGCGAATCGAAGATGAGCGTTACTTGCGATAAATAGTGACTCAATGTTGTCAACATTCACTTTTGTCAACGAGGCACAATATATAAGTAACAAGAATGTAATATTCTGGACGAATATTTACAGCCTGTTGCTAACAATGAAAATGGTGAATTGTTTATTGGTGGTGTACAGGAGTGATATCTGCTTTTAAGCGTGTAAAGTTTATAATAATAATAAACTAGAATAACTAATAAGTTTTAAATAACTATTAAACAAAGTACAAAGTTACGTGTCAAGTCCATGATCCGGTATGTAGCCATGCATTTTTTCATCAGCATATTTTATGCAAACACGTGCACAAAACTAGAAGAGTAATAAAAGTCTTTTTTCTCTTTCTTTCTATTCTAATATTACATCTACTTATATCTAATTCTTCATCATCTATGAAAAGAGTACAAATATGCGTAACAACTTTAAAAATATCTCTTCTTTCCATTATCTTATGTGTCAAGTAGTAGCAGTGTGTGTATCTGTTAACATATTTTATTATGATCATGGATAAAAACGTGGACAAGAAAAATCAGAGACGTTATGAAAATTTTTTGTTGTTCAATGCTAGAAGTTTGAAGGCCACAGTTGAGGAGAAAGTTAGCGGGTTACCACACGTTGTAAAAGTGACTAAGTTAGATCTATTTATAGATTATATGCATGAATATAAACCGACAATTGCCGTTGTGGTTGAGAGTTGGCTTAATGCCAATATATCCGATGATGATTTACTTATCGCTGACTATCAATCTCCGTTAAGAAAAGATAGAGCAGGAATGACTGGTGGAGGAATACTCGTGTACGTTCGTAATAACCTCCCGTGTAAACGCCTAGTAGAATTAGAAGATCAATTATACGAAACAATATTTTTCTCTGTCACATTTCCAACGAATAAAACATTCGTTATTTCAGCATGTTATCGCCCAGATTGGGTGGACGTCACTGCGTCCACGAATCATTTAGAAAAAAGTCTATTTGAAATAAGAACAAAAGCCACATACAAATTCACTAACATTGTCATTCTCGGAGACTTTAATGCACATTGTTATGAGTGGTGTGAAACGAAATCTTCTACTAGTGAAGGTAAACATTTCCACGAATTCGATATATTACCCACGAAGGATAATATTTCCGACGTAAATAAGGTGATTGTTCTTCCAAAACTTTATTCTAAATGCGATCATGATGTTGTTCAAATTTCTTATTCTTTCTTAAATACTCCGATAAGAGAATACAAATGGTGCATTTATGATTATCGTCTAACGAACTGGGACCTTTTCAGGCAAGAGCTTTCCAATATTGATTGGTTCGGTCTGATCCATCGTCTAACATTACACGATATCGTGGCAGCTATAGAAAATAAAATCTCAGAAATAGCTTATTTAGTTACTCCTCATAAATATATTACCGTGAGATCAAACGATAAACCCTGGTTCACGGATAAACTGAGGAACATGAGTAAAATTAAACATGATTTATATATAATAAAATGTCAGCAGAAAACATACACTGCTGAAAAAGAATATATGCAAGCTTCAAAAAAATTCGAACAGGAATGTCGACGAGAAAAGAAATCGTATTACAGAAAACTGTCGACTGATATGAACACTTCATCAAAGCGCAACAAACAAATATTCCTTTGTATCAATTCGCCAAAATGAAACCAAGTCACGAGTTCTAACATTTCGTCTTTTTAATTCACCGATAAACTGTTTAGTAATCTGATCCGTATAGTGCAAATGAATAGCATTTAGACGCATTTTTAATAC